ACAGGCTCTTAATCATACAATGGCACTTCACATAAATCAACACTATGTAAGTATTTCCAAATAAATTCCAGGACACGTTACTAACATATACTGATTTTGCAAATGCCTTTTGGAGCCTTAAAGAGCTTTACGTTTTAAATCACCAAGATAACCCATCGGAACGACGATCTTTCCGATCCATTTGTAATGATGCTGAAAGAAACCTGAAATGTGCCTCGTGAACTGAGCACATTATAACTCCAAAGACATGAGTAAGGCTTCTCCGGCCCAAAGTATGGCCCAGCGGGCTGGCGGGGAGTATCCCCAGACTCTCCCTACCTGATAACAGCTTGTCTCACCCTGCCTGTAGGACAGGGAGGGGCAGAATCTTCTCCCTGCCTGTTGTTTGTTTTCCCAGAATCCGCATTTTTAAAAATAGGAAGGATTCAACTTTTAGAAACCCATTTGTCTGCAGCGTCAGCCAAAGGTACTACTTGAAAAATTATGATCACAGCAAGTTTGGGAAGCAACCTGCCCCACCTCAGCCCAGAGTAAGAGAAAAACACAAAATTCTTAAGACACTTTTGTCCAATACCCTCGTTTTCAAGAGGATACTAAGGCCCACCTAAAAATAGATATGGGAAACTTTGTGTTTTTTTTTTTTTACATACCATTCACACCACCACAGTGAGGGCGGTCAGAAAAAAATGGGGGAAGAAAACTGTTTTCCTGTTGCTCTTATCGGTTTCTTTCTTGTGAAAACAAGACAATGCTTCTGCCAAACTGTTAATGTTGCGTAAAAAATTTTCTGGAGACCTTCCAACGTTCAAATTCCTAATGACTGTCAGGTCGTCATTGTAAACACTGAAATTATTTCTTTACTATGCTTTGTTGTGTGTACGTGTGGGAGCCTGACAATCTCTCCCCCTCATAACTTGGAAATTCTTGAATTGGGACAATGCCTAACAGTAAGGGGAAAAACAAATTATTTTTTAACACTTGATAAAAACTCACTAAAAAACAAACAAACACATTTTGGATCTGTTGAGGATAATCTGAAATGAATTCTTTTACATTTTGTTTAATTCAAAAAAGTTAGCCATGTCTTCTCTACCACAAAAATTTTAAGTCTGCTTTTTTTGTGAATGGACATATTTAGAGAGTGACAACACGTGAGACGATCTGTTCGTGTTTAAGTTTACCTGAGAAAGTCTATGGGGATCAAGATACTTCAATTCTGTGCGTGCGTGTGTATGTAGCTATGGTAGCTTTCTGTTACAGGGGCTCATTGATTAATGAACTACAACTGCAGGGACACAGAGGAATGGAGTAGGGACTTCTGACGATGAAACTTTTTTGCTATATATGTCATTGTAAATAATATAAATTGTAGAAAACTGGGGAAAGAAGAATGAAAAAGAAAATCAGCTGGAATGCTATTAACTAGAGATCTCCAATATTAACATTTCAAATAACAGCACAATCTTCCATCAGTTAATGCTCAAGTGCTACTTTTTCAGTCCTTACAAAGTGTTCTTGGCACACGATACTATGATATTCGGACCCTGCCCCCTCCCACACATACACACCACACAACACTTGAATGCTTTTGGGGTCAAGGCAGGTAAGAGAGCATGTTGAATAGGCCGGTTGGGCATTTTGGCAAATCAGACTATGAAAACCTCCTCAGAAGTGGGCATATTTAGGAATGTGTAACATTTCATGCATATTGTCAAAAAATCACAGCTTCCACGGTAGAAATACGTCTGAAGTGGATGGGTATGGTGGGGAGAGGCCACATCTTGATATTTTCAACATGTCACCACAGACAGGTTCAGGTTCTATTTGGAAAGGGACCTACTAAGTACGGCCTAAACCCTTTAACACACCAGACAACACCAGCTTTGCTTCCATGAGACCTTTCGTGAACTGAGTGCAACTGAAGGCTTCCAACCATCTCATCCAGCTCAAGAACAACTTAGACCTAAAGGGATACCTCCTCTTGAGGAAAGATAGAAGCCAATATATAAAAAGCAAAAGGAAAGAAAAGGTTTCTTTTCAGTACGTTATGCTTATATTTTAACTTTGAAGCATCATAATTTGGGGGTGAGAAGGGCGGTGATGGTACTTAATGTTGTAGGTTGTCTGAGGGATGTAGACACATGACACACTAAATCAGTCATTGCATGTGCCCCCAGCAATAGTGAAAGGAGGAGTGCTCACCATACTATTGCTAGAAATGCAACGATTTGTTCCAGAAATACCATTGCAGTAACTGTCTACCCATAGGTAAAACGTCAATCTCTGCATATCTGCAGCAGGTGCACAGCAACCTACGTGGACATGCTTTGCTAAGTTAATAAACTCAATGAGATAAGTGAAATAACAGAAGACCCAGGACAGATCCCAGAGTCGTCCCTCAGAGCTGTGCAGTCCTGAGATGCTTTCTCTGCCTGACTTCACCGCCCTGTGCAATACGGTGGTGGAAACCATCCACCAGGCACCATGGCTGCTGACATGTTACATGTGCAGCACACGCAGTGGAGACTCTCAATAAATGGCCATGTTATATGATAAGTCACCACTGGATAAAAGTAATATTTGATTGCAAAAAAACCCCTACTGGAATATTGGTTCTGAAAGCTGAAAAGCAAATTCGACACCTAGTTCATTTCTAAAATGTTTGTTGTTAGCATAGCAAAAACCAGAATTTCCAAGGGGGTTGGAATTAACCACATACTTATGATGGCTGTATTTTATTCTCTCAAGAAAGTTGATTTCATCCAAGAAAAAGTTGCTAATAAATGAGCTCTAAATTCCCCTGCAACTGTAAAATTCCATTATGTTCCAAAGTCAGGTGATTTGCCCAGTTACAAATGATGCCAGATCACTGGTACGCTTTGAATTTACCATCACATTCGACCTACTGAAAAAACTTTAGAAATATGATAAAAGTGTAATTAATTCCTATTGAAGGTACAAACACCTACTCATCGACAGTTCACAATTAGCTTTTTATCAACCGTATTTGTGATTTCTCATTTCGGAGTAATTAAAAGCAAGCTGGTAGAGAATACAATGCAATGAAATGGAAATATGGCCATGGTACACTACGTTTAGGTAAAAAAAAAAAGCTGATTAGAAAACGGAATGATCAAACTTTTGTAAAAAGGTACGTATGGAAAGAAAATTTTGAAGACATCTACTAGATTATGAAATGTTGGTTAACTGTCAAGGTGGGTTATAGATGGCTTGTCTTTTCTTTTTTCATTTGTTAGCTTGTGTCTATTTTTAAACTAAAAAACTATGAAACAGTATTAACTCTACAATAGTAATCATTTAAAAATAAAAGTAAATTAAAAGATTACAACTAGAGATCACTGGGATCAGTGTGGAAATGAGGAGTGGGCTGAGTCTGTGTAAGCCAGGCTATAAGCAGGAGGCCCACGGACAGGATGAAATTAGCTCTTTGTTGACAGATTTCTAGTTTCTCCTGAAAAATCCGAAGTCCTGAGGGCACTGGGTTGGGACTACCAGCTCCCCCAGCACAGCCAGTAGCCACTTCAGATGAACTCTTCATTTTCCCATTTGCCAAAATATAAGCGTTCACGTTTTCTACCTGTGGTATAGACACTGCGGCATTATAAGCCAGAAACACTCTGTAGGGGCTGGAAATGCAGCACTTAAAATTTAGCTGATCCAAATTTTCTTTAAATTTTAAAGAGATTTAAAGCTTAAGGCTAGACTGAAATGACATAATATTACTTGAAATGTAATAGATGTGTCTGGCTAGAATGATGTGACTTCTTTTCTTTTCCATGCTTTTTATTTGCATTCTTCAGATTTTCTAGAAAAAACTTATGTCATTTTTAAGTAGAAAAAGTTTAGGAAAACTATTTTTTTGGCTAACATCTCCTACCCCCTTCCTTAGTGTCTCTATAGCTGCAATTCATTAACTAATAGGAACCTATGAGAGAAAGACAGTCATAGCTACAGACAGGCACAGACAGATACACATATAAACCCAACATTCATTTACGTGTACAGAATTTACGTTGAAGCATCCCGATTCCCATGGGCTTTGTCACGTAAGTTGAAATCCAAAGAGTTCACCTCATGCATTTTTATCTGTAAATATATCCATTCACACTAAAGCAGACTCGGCCCTAGCTGGTTTCGCTCAGTGGTTAGGGCATCAGCACGCAGACTGAAGGGTCTCGGGTTCGAATCCAGCCAAGGGCATGTACCGTGGTCTCAGGCTCAATCCCAGGCCCAGGTTGGGGCACGTGAGGGAGGCAACCAATCGATGTTTCTCTCTCTCTCTCCCCCTTCTACTCTCTCTGAAAAAGCAATGGAAAAAAATATCCTCGGGTAAGGATTTGAAAGCAGCAACAACAATTAGTTAAGATGTAACAATGCATTTCAGATCACTCCGGACAGATCTTAAATGATTGATCTTTTTCAATTATGAAAAGGATTGCTGTTTCCCCCTTATTTGGAGGCTGTGTATATGTTTTTCAAAAATTCCAAGTTATGAGGGGAAAAAGAACTGTCAGGCTCTCACACAAACACAAAACAAGCCATAGGAGAGAAGTCATTTAAATGTTCACACTAATGACCTGACAGGCTTAGGAATTATAAGCACTGGAAAGAGTGCAGAAAATTCCTTTACACAACATTCCTGGTTTGGCAAAAACAATGTCTTGGTTTTGCAAGGAAGAAATCAGTAAGAGCAACTCCAAACAGTTTTCTCTCTTGGTGGGGGAAAAATTGCCATAAATTGCAGGTATTTTCTTCTATCCTTTTAGGCTCAAAGGAAACTAGAAGACCTTTTGGCTCACTCAGGTATATTGAATTTTCAGGAATCAGTGAAATTCTAAAAGTTATTTTTAAGGAACCTCTGAAAAAAAAGAAAGCTGACAGTCAATTAGGGATAGAAAGGAGTCATTTTCACCCTCTCAACAATCTAGCGATACATTAAGGACAACAATCTGCTTTGAGAAACATGGCCGTGTCCTTACCTAAAGACTGGTAGAGCTCTGTCATTTTGGGATGGTCCCAGCATGTTGTCTGGGTCTCGTGGCTAAAACATAAAACACAAAGAGAGACTTTAGA